TATAGAAAAAACAATACTACTAATTTTTCTAGAATAGAAGAGATAATTTTAATAATGGTTAGAATATATAATTAAAAGAGTCTTATTTGAATATCGAATATCTGACATCATATTTATATTAATTTTATATTATTATTATATCTCTTTTATTTTTCTATTTTATATATTTATATGAATTTTAATAAGAAAAATTAGACTCGTCTCTCTTAAAAATTTATTAAAATAACATTTATATTCTTTTTTAATTTTAAAATAAATAATAATCTCCTTTAATATATATATATATATATATATATATATATATATATATATATATATATATATATATATATATATATATATATATATATATATATATATATATATATATATATATATATATATATATATATATATATATATATATATATATATATATATATATATATATATATATATATATATATATATATATATATATATATATATATATATATATATATATATATATATATATATATAAAAGAGGAAGTTAGTGTATATATTAAAATAGAAAAAATGTTAATGTCATTTTAACGGATTTTAAAATAGATGAGTGTCATTCTAATAATACACTCTTATACATTTAACACATTTTTAACACTCAAATTTAAGTGTTAAAATAGTATTTCTCATTTAATTAACAGTAAATTTCTAATAAATGAAGATATTTTGTTCAAAATACATATTAATAAATAAATAAATTTCTTATTTTATGATCCAAAGACAGGTGGGTGTAGGGACTAGACAGTGCTTAGTCCTTACTTTGATTGCTCAATTCATTCAAAACAATAATTCACATTTTCTCTTTTTCATTTCCTTTTATTTCATTTCATACTTGAGTTTAGAACATCACTTCAACCATGAGTTTCCAAGATATTCAGAGCGGTTCCAATCCTCCTTCTCGGCGAACCCAGTCTCCGTCGCAAGCCGTCGCTGCCGGAATTTTCCAGATCAACACCGCCGTCGGTACTTTCCGGCGACTCGTTGACTCCGTCGGAACCGTTAAAGATACTCCAGAGCACCGTCAGAAACTGTAAGTACATATTTCGTGTTTTAGGTTAATTTCTTGAATTTTTTATAGCTTTGTTTAATTTTATTCTATCATCACCGTGGTATGGTTTGTAGCCACAATACGAGACAGAGGATATTGCAGCTTGTGAAGGATACTTCTGCCAAACTCAAATCGTTGCCTGAATCTAACCGTGATGCTAATGCCAATGTATGCTTTATTAATTTGTAATATTTTTTGTATTTTTTGTATTTTTTTTTATGTTTCATGAGTGACTTTGAATTTTGATTACACGAACTCGTCCTATCACGTTGTTTTACGGTTTTGAAAAATTGTCACCTAAGAAATTTTTGGCCGAGTCGCAGACTAGGTTGCTCTCTTTGGATTTGTGTCTAGTAGTCGAATTTGTTGTATTTTTTCATGATTGAAAATTAGGATTGGTAGCTAAAGTTGAATGTTGGTGATGTTATGCCCTCATTGTTTGTTGTACTTTGATTAAGCAGACGAGTAAGAAAATCGAAGATGCTAAGCTGGCAAGAGATTTCCAAACTACATTGCAAGAGTTTCAGAAAGTTCAACAGCTTGCTTCTGAGCGCGAATCAACTTATACTCCTGCTGCCCCTGCTTCTAACTTACCGACAAGGTTAACCATTCTTTGTACATAAGTAAATTAAATTGGGAAAAATATGTTTTGTCCATGAAAAATCACAAATGTTTGAGTTTAATTCCTGTAAAATCTACGTTCATTTTTTATTTCTTTGATATCAGCAGAGACTTGGTATTTAGAGATAAATGTTGACGACGAGTGATGATTTTATAGGGACTATGCACATCAAATGATACCCACTTTTTTTTTATCTCATTCTTCTTCGGATTACATTATTTATCTTCATTAACAAATATTGAGCTTTCCTATATCATTTGTGTGTTTGTAAGCAGCTCTGGCCCCGGTCATGAATCGATTGAGATAGACCCTGAAAGCCAACCTTTTATCAGAGGGCAGATGAGGTTAGTCTGCAACGTTTCAGCTATTTCCGTGGACCAATTGAATTCTATTCAGTCTTCATCTTATTACTGTAAATTTGTAAAAAAATTGTACCTTTGTAATACAAAGATGTATAGATTATTACTGGCTTATTTAGCTCTTGTTTTTTCCAGAAAGATTTGTGAGATAGTATTTTATGGTCTGATTTGCTTGATCATGTAAATAAAACTGCAGGCAAGAGATAGTTCTATTGGATAATGAAATATCCTTCAATGAAGCCATGATTGAAGAAAGAGATCAGGGTCTTAGAGAGATAGAAGAGCAAATTGGAGAAGCAAATGAAATATTCAAGGACCTTGCTGTTTTGGTTCATGATCAGGGGATTGTTATCGGTAAATAAAATTACCATTTTACATAATAGAAATATATAGAGCTTGCTTTTTGTTGCTACAAATTTTAGCTATTCCTTTTATTCATATTTTGTTTGTGACATTCTGGCAGATGACATTCAATCAAATATAGATACTTCTGCTGGTGCAACAGCTCAAGGTAAGGTCCAGCTAGCCAAAGCTTCCAAAAGTGTGAAATCCAAAAATAAATGGGTGAGTCATAAGGATTCTAATATATCATTGCAAATTTACTTCTTGATATTGCAAATTATTTCCAGAATATCATTGTATTATCTAATAAATCCTACGAATGGCATTATTTGCATACTACACATACAAAATTCCCTTATTTCTTGTCATGTCATACATAACAACTGCACAAATCTCATTTGCTGCTTACAGATAAATATGTCAAACATGGAAAAGGCTAGACTTTGTAAGTTATGAGTATTTCTTACTTTGAAATTGTTTTGCCTGAGCCTAACATATCACCTGTTATAGACTCATTTTTAAAGTCTGTTCTAGCCTAACAATGTTTGGAAGTTTGTTTAAAAGCCTACTTCTCTATGTTCTTAGAGAAATCCGCTTTCATCAATAGACTAATGGTATGTTTGGCACTGCGTTTTTCTTTAATTTCTCGCGTGCCTACGTGTTTTTAGCGTGAAATATATCAAGCTATCTTTTGTAGCTTTAATGATACGTACGTTTGCTGGTATTTAGACGTGGTTCCAAATAGATTCTAATAAGCTAACAGGTCTATGAAATTAAGTTATATTTTGAGATCTAATATGACCTTTTAGAGAATCCAACTTTATATAACATCCTATTTAAATTATATTTTATGACATCAGTTGAACTTGTATAATCACCAGCAAGTAAGTAGAACATTCTGATATATAACTTCGATTCAACTTTTCTTACATTGCAGTGTTGGTGGGTGCTTTTAATTTTTGTGGCAGTGCTGGTCATCGTACTCATTGTACTTCTTGCTTAATTTGGAACGTATAATAAGTTGGACGCATTTTTAACTCCCTCATTATTACATTTTCAAGATTGATTTAAATTTTGATGAATCTCCCCCATATTCTATTGGTGTCCAAATGTGTTGTGGTGTGAAGTGTGTTTGTTTGGACCAAAAGAAATGTGTTAAAAGAGTGTATTGCGGCCTTTTCAAGTCCAGCAGCCAGCAGTTTGATGTCTTAAGTGAGCATTAGGAAGTGGAAGTTGGAAGAAATGACTTTATGTAAAGCATTTTTAGAAAGAATTGTCCTGTATTTTTATATAGATTTGTAATATAGAATTTGTAGTTGCTATTGAAATATTTGTTTGCAACGCAAATTATGCACAACAAATTACCAAATTCCTAAATAGCAAACTGTTTGTATGTATTTTAACACATGCCTTCTCGAGCCACATCCAATTCAATAGGAAAAAAAAGTTTTGTTAGTATAAATAAAGAGTTTATAATGAAATATTGTGATATAAGAACAATGTAGCTATATAATAACTAAAAGATTTAAGTGAGATTGAAATTTAAGCTCAACTATAGATACAAGTTACTTGCAATTAAAGATACAAGTTATAAACCAAATATTGAATAAAAGTTTCAACTAAAAACGAATTTAACAATATTGTCAAAAAAACAAAACAAATTTAACAATATTCTATTTATATTTATCACGTAGAATTGAAAATTAGAAGATAAAGATATAAAAAGAAAAATACTAGTTAGAAAATTATTATTCACTATCGTAATTATGGGTGAAATTGAAATCCTTAAATTTTTTCTCTAATTTTCATCTTCAAACTTTAATATTAATGTTGAATATGATAATATCAATTTTTTATCGGTTAAATTAGAATTTATGAATATTTATTCACATATTTTATTAACCACATAGCTCAGCCCTATATTAAGTTCATATTTTACATCGGAATTTTGTTATTGAGTTTTTCTTAAATATATCAAAATTTTATTAATCATACTACTATTCCTCTTTATTTACACCTTTAATTACATGTATAAATTTTTTCCTAAAAAAATAAAGATTAATTATTATATATTATTAATGTAAAACGTTGTATAATATTAATTAATAACTATTATCTATTTGCATTATTTTATTTTATATATAATTAAAATAAAAGTTAAATTTCTCTTAATATCTGATGTCTGTGTGATATTTTTTTAATTTATCAATATATTTTAATTAAATTTTAAAGAATATCCGAATATTTATTTGTTTGTATATATTTTTTATTTGGTACTATATATATATATATATATATATATATATATATATATATATATATATATATATATATATATATATATATTTTAAAATAACTGAGATTGGTAAATACTTTCCACTTTGTCTGCACTAGTTTTTGGAAGGAAAAAAAAAAGGAGAAGAAAGTGATGGAAAGAAAATGAGGATCCAAAAGAATGATCCATCATCTCTTTCTCTTGTTTGTTTGACTTGACAACGCTCCAATCGAAAGAAAGAAAGAACAAATGAACAAATCATAATCTGTCATCCTCATTACTACTTCAAAGAGTACCATCACTACCACCACCATTCCCATCAAAATCAAAATGGGAAGTTTATTATACCAAGCATTATCATCCTCAGCACTCCTCTCCTTAGGTCTCTATCACCTCATTCTCACAACCCTAAACTACCTCAAATCCCCCCACACCTACACATCCAAACCCTACCACCCCCTCCCCTCCTCCAACCACCCCCGTCTCCGCCCAATCCAGCTCTACTTCATCATCTTCTCTCTCTCCATCGCCATCATCCACCACCTCATCCTCGCCACCGATTCCGATCCCTTAATCAAAGGCGCCACCCCCGTCCACCGCCTCACTTCTCTCCAATCCGCCTCCCTCCTTTTCCTCTTCCTAATCCTCTCCATCTCCCTCCTCCTCCCTCTCCCCCTCTCCCCCGATTTCACCTTCTCCCTCCTCTCCCTCCTCTTCCTCCTCCACTCCTCCCTCCAAACCTCCCTCTCCTCTCTCCAAACCTCCTCCCTCGAAGCCAAATGCGACTCCGTCTCCTCCAATCTCTCCGCTCTCTCTTCCTTCCTCTGCCTCCTCCTAGCTTGTTTCCCTCGTCTCTACCCCGCTGACGCCGCACTCGCCGCATCAATCTGTCTCCGTGGCCTATGGGCTCTTCAAACCGGCCTTTCTCTCTACGCCGAAGCTTTTATCCCGGAAGGCTGTCATCGTCTTCTCGACGTTGTTAACGGTGTCGAAGGATCCACGCAGTGTGATCTCGATGAGTCTAAGTTTCGTGCGCTTGCCATTCTTGATCTGGCTTTTGTTGTTCATGTAATGCTGGTTATGATCATTGTTTTGGTTGCTTATGCTGCTGTTGCCACTACTGTTGGGACTGTTAGAAGGGTGGGATCCTATGAGGCTTTGCCTACTGCTACGTCGCCTACGGATTCTAATCATATTCAGATGAAAGCTTTGGCTGGAACACAGGCTTGAATCTTATCTTTCTCTTTACGGTTATTAGGATTTTATTTTTAAACTTCATTTTTTGAGTTTGAATTGCTTTTAATTTGTTGTAGTAGAGTATGTATGATCTGTGATTGTGAGCAGAGTTACTTACAATGTGTTGTTAATTGTTATCATCAGAAACGTAGGGACTTTGTGAATATACATGGAATTCTTATTTAATGATAATGAATGAGATCACGATCTGGTTGTTGCTGGCTACTATATGATTTTTTTTGTTAGTTACTGATGTTGCATATTCCTTAAGAAGCATTTGAATGATTGATATGGAACCTGTTACCTGAATTTTTGGTTTTCCTTTTGATCAATTGGCTTGATTGTACTTTGATATGGTGTAGTGCATGTTCTTATCATCTAAGATATGACTTTACGAGTTAGACTGTATTGTGCATCTCTTTTTCTTGTTGGACTTGGTAAATTCATTTGCTGGATTATTTGTTTGCATTCGAGTATTACGGCTTATCTGGTTTTGCATTCGCATATGATGGCTTATCTAGTTTTGCATTGGAGCTTTTGAATTTAGTTATTGTGGCTCCAAAATTTTGATTTCACCTCACTAATATTGTCATGAATTAAGATTCGATTGTGTTTTTGTGGGACCTTGATTCGCTGCAGTTGGGATTATCCCACACTTTCACGTTAATGTAGCAATGTTGTTATCTCGGATAGTTTTGCGTAGCACCGACCTTCTAAAATGCTATAGCAGATAGTAGGATAGCCGCTATCGCAAATACTAACCAGTGTACAGTGTAAGCATAAATATTCAAAAATAGAATAATACATGCTTAAAAGATTGTCATACTTAATAGTTAAAGAACATAAAGTATTGAGTAAAAAAACTTAAGCAGAGAAGAAGAATAAAACATAACTGAATTAAAAATAGGAAGATGAATGGAACGATTGTTGGTGAGAGAGAACATGTCAAAATGAAGAACATAGCATTAATCTTAAAAGGGTTCGCGGTTTCAAAAAAGAATTTGAGGAATCTATCCCCAAAATTGTAATAGCGGGCGCGATAGCGGTTTGGGGCTGCAATTTTATCGCTATTGCTAACAGGAGCTTGCAGGCCAAAAGTGTCACGCCAAACCTGTACCACTTTGACGCTATTCTGCTACAGTGCACGTGCGAATTTTACGCTATTCTGCTATAGTGCACTATTGATAATACAGTCAGTCATTTAGTCTAAGTCTTTAACTTTATATTTGGACAGGTCATATTTTGACTAGGCAAAATAGGTTCAAAACATGCAGTTAAAATGTAAACTACTCGATAAAGACCAGACAATTTAGATTCACATTAGCATAAATGTGCGATTGCACCCAATCTATTTCTGCTTTTGCGGGAGGAAAATATATGACGTCTGTTATATGTTGGTGAAGATAAAACTGTACTATCCAGTAGTGTAGTCTTCGCTGAGCCAGCTTGGGGTATATGACTGCTTCATAGACAGAAAATATTGATAAACAGCACATCCAATTTGGTGGGTAAATGGACATAATTGAAGTTCATGGATTGGAATCTTGGGTTCTGTGTTCTTTAACCACCCTTTCAGATGGATAACTGTGGCAAGTCTTTCATGGACTGTCAAGTTAAATTGAGTGCATGGAATTAGTACATGTTTGATTTGCATTTAAAATATAAAAGACTATGGTTTCAGCAAAAGGTTATCTTTTGGTCTTTTGAAACATAAGACCAAATACATTCTTAGTGATTTGTCCATCTTAAGGTCATATCTGCCATTATTTTTCTCTTTGGTCTAAGGTTATTCTGGAGTCTTAGGTTGCAGATTACTTAAGTTGTATGTAGTACTGGGTATCATAGCATGTGAAGACTCAGAAAAATGAGTTTGAATTATTTGATTATGTACTTCTTAGTTCATACTATACAGTTTATCATTATACGTTAAAGACACTGGACTCGAGCTCAAACTTATAGCTCTGTTCAGCATTTGTCCTCGATTTCGAGATGATTAATGTGTACAATGTAGATAATCGCAGCCTATTCTTTCATGGATTCTCAGTTAAATAAGGACGTGAAATTAGTACACACGGTTTTGGGTAAAAATATGTGTTTCGTAGTTTTAACTTGTTCAATCAAACCATAGTTTTGGATTCTGAACATCAAACCATATATACTCTTAGGGGCTGTTTGGGAGTTGGTTTTTGGAGGGGAAGGCTTTGGAGGGTTGCATTTATATTTTGAAATGTGTGTAATATTTTTAAAAAGTTTAAATAACAATATACTACATTAACATATAAAATCATATTGTTCTTTAAATTTTAAAAAAATATCAAACACATTTCAAGACACAACCCTCCAAAGTCTTTTCTTCCAAAATCCTCTAAAAACCAACTCCCAAACAGCCCCTTGTTGATTTATTGAGGTTACGGTTCTTTCTGCAATTGTTTTCGCTTTGCTCTAATGTTGTTTTGGGGTCCAAGTTTGTAAATTACTTAAATTCTTTTTTTACACTCCATATTATTAATATGATGGCATGTCAATGTTTCATGTTTTACCGGATATCATAGCTAGTAAAGGGTCTCAAATGATTATGAGTTTCAATTATTTGATTATGTATTTACATGATAGGGAGACAAGTTTTTAATGTTATGGCAGTGTCTGTTTCGATGTTCCAGTATATGCATATGGTTGACTTCGGCCAATCTTATTTTTAACATAAGCTAGCACAATTATGCCTATGTTCCATGTGAGGCATGTGTTTATATCTCATTTGTGATCCACTTTCATATATAAGCTCATGCAATGCATTATTCAAAGGGATATATGCCACTATGTACACTGATTAGGGCACAAGACTAGCTTAACTGACCTTTAAATTCAGAGCATGGAGATTGTTTATCTTTCAGAAAATATTTCTTTAGCAATTTGGTGCCATGTTTGAGGAATGAGATTGCTAGAGTTATTCCTAGATCACACTTTCCTGCTGCCACTTCCTTTCGTCCTGTTATTTCTTGTCTAGATCCCGATGATCACTAGGCTGCCTGATACATCTTTTCCACTGAATGCGAAGGTGTAAATTTTCATCTAAGTGTGTATCACTGTGATGCGGCAGTGCGAAGTTCTGAAAAATAAGAACATTTCTTGTGGGTATAAACTATATTTCTTATCCAATAGCTGCATGCCAATTTGAGTAAGTGTCCTCTGTATCTGTGGTTTGATAAATTTGATAAATTTGATAAATAAAAATAATATTCTCTCAAGAAAACTAATAAATATCTTATTGAGTTTAAAAGAAATGCACCGATAGTGTTAACTGTCATCCAATAAAAACATATTATTTTTAAAAATTATAATCTGATTTGGTGGGATTCACATTCGTGTCTGTGTATTTCTCTAATCACTTTGAATCTCTAATCACTTTGAAAGCAATTACCTTAATAATTAAAAAATTAAAGATGTCACCGACTTATATTCTCACAAGTGAAAATTTTAGCTTTTGGATGTTGTTTTTTTGTCTTCTTAATTACATTAATGAAATACTCTCTCTGTTTTAAAAAGACTTGTTTTATCAAATAAATTTTGTTTTAAAATGACTATCAATTTCACTTTTACATGTAGTAATATTTTTTAATGGTTTCATTTACTTTTTACTTCTATACTACTTCTAACATATTAATAGGGTTAGTTTGTAAATGTATAATATCATATGATAATATCATTGCATTTTTTAATTTATGTATAAAAATCTTAAACGACAATCATTTTGAAACGGAAAAAGTATATTCATTTTACATATGAGAAAATATTCATGACGCGACAACTGATGCTATCTATCTATATAATATATTAAATCAAATGCATCAAATATTATAGCAACACAATATCAATTATAACTCTAATATATCATTAAGTAATAACTTTAAAATTTGACACATCATTCTACAGTCTTATGTGGCATATCTCAACTCATTTTTATCATATACTTTTACAAATTAGAGGTTACGGGTTTGAACGCTCACAAAGACGAAATAAAATATTATTTTGAACAAATTGATTTAACAAATTAATCATTAATCTAATTATGTACATTCCTTTAAATTAAAAATATTTTCTTATATTTCAGATATAAAAGAGATATGGAAATTCAAATACAATAAAATATTTTTTGTTTATCTGAAATTATAACAATAAAAATAACACTTAAAATAATTTATATTTGTATAATATATTAAATCGAATGCATCAAATATTATAGCAACACACCATCAATTATAACTCTAACACGTTATTAAGTAATAACTCTAAAATTTGACACATCATCCTATAGTCCTATGTGACATCCAAAAATTCATTTTCATAATTGATCTTACTGGATCAGGCTTGGACCGTCACGGCTGACTCGAGCTGAACTTGAGTGAGATGGGGGGGAGGTACCTGCAAGACACTCCGATGCTAAAATGAGTGGCGGAATGAGCAGGCAAAAAATGTATAGGTGTGTAATAGATGAATATCTGACCCTCTGGGAACAAAGAATATTTATAGCCCCCAGCGCTGGACCAAGGTCCTCTCATTAGGCTGAGCAGAACTAGCCCAATAAAGGAACTGCCAGGTTCTACGTGCGTAGTGGGGCCCCGCACTTGGTCCTCTTCCTGGTGGTGCTCTGTGAAGAATAAGGAGGGACGAAGACGCGGTCTTTCCGGAGTTTAGAGGATTCGATAACGGTCAGAATGGACAGAATCTGCCCTACGGGGAGGGTGCTCGAGCAGGACTCGAGCTGGAGTTCCCTTGGTCGGGGACACTGCGTGTCGCGGGCAATGGCGGGCGTAGTGGCTACAGTCTGTTGTCGGGCATGTCGATGGTGGTCCGCTGATGAGCATTCCCTGAGGAGTTTGCTTGGATTGGGCCCTTATCTGCGCTTTGGGCCAAGGTGGGCCCAATCCAAAATAGGAGCCCTCCAAGTCGTTGCTCTTGGGGCAGGAGTTATGACTTGATTTCAGCTCGCCTTTACC